ATCTCCTTGACCTGAGCAGTGTGTGAGCTTCACGTTGTCTGGTCTGAATGCGAAAGGCCAGCCATTCTCTAATAGTAAGTTTGTTCATCTTTCCTTTTTTTTTTGGGAACTGTCTCTCTGTGTAGAACACCAAGTCTAAATCCATCTTCCCCGTACGGAAACAGAAGTGGATATTGTAATGCAAGATAGCTCGGATGAAACTCACTTATTCGTTTTAGTCTACCGCTTTGTCTTTCAAGGATAATATCCCTTTTTGAGCCTGTATCAACATCACCAACAATGAGGGCTGCAACCTCAGACACGGTGGGTTGGTTGTAAATTCGTCCGTCCTTTAATCTATCAGATATTAACTTCAACTTGAGGTCAGGTACAGGACAATCCTTTAGTCTAGCTGATGCCATTCTAAAAGATTTAGCATGTGTGTTGAATTCGTCAAGCATGTTCTGTATTCGGCTAACAGTTTCTTCAATAATATTCTGGTTGTTGCTGCATTAAAAAATTAGACACATGTCATGCACGATAATAACAAAGGTAATATAAAGTAGGCATCTCAGTTGGCTTAAGAAACATAACCCTATTCCTTGCATCCTATGATGAATCTCATTGTCAGTGTCGTATATATAAAGCTGAGCGAATTTCGGTTTTTCGCTATGCACAGGCATCATGCTACCAATTCTATGGCAAGCCTGCCCTTGAATTCTCATGTTAGGTGGTCCATTTCCATTATTGAATCTATTGTCAATTTTCATTCCAAGAGACGTAAATGCAAACATTATGTTGTACAGTCTGCAATTCTGCTGATAATTTCTACATAGTACATCGTTTTCATTCGACAGAAGATGTTTAAGAAACGGTGGTGGTGTTCTCAGAAGTGGCAACACAACTTTACCATTTCCACAACATAATTGGAACTTAGGCACTGCACTATGTTTTCTCTTGACAACCTTCTCCTGATACCACATTTGTGCTCCACACTGAGTGCATTCAATGGAAGGATCACCAATATCTGAATATCCTGTATTTATCAGATAGAACGAAACATCATATATCTTATACACATCAGTATATTCATAGACACCAAACTGCATGACAGTGAATTTAAGTTATGGTTTGCTATTAATAATAATTCCAGCAATACATACCAGCATTTGTGCAATCAATTGTTGGGACATTTGCAGAATGATCTTCGTCGTTGTCTAGACTTGAACTTGTATCATAATCCGGATCTTCATTTATGAATTCACACGAACTATCGGTTAAAGATTCATCGGATGAATAGTCTGCAACTGATTGTTGAACTGGGTTCACTGAGTCAGCACTTCTGAACAGATTGGTATTAAGGGAAGTTGACGTCGTTTCTGTAACACTTGAAAAGGTTTTTAATAGATTCGCAGTCGTTGAACGAATTAGATTTGGATCAAGATGTTTGTTGGATGAAGATGCATAGGAAGTCGGTAGTCCATATGAATTATTTTTGCATTTAATACTTGATGAGGAGGTAACGCCACTCAGAGGTGTGTTAGCATCAAACGGTAAAGGGGAACAAAAGGGCATTCTATCAACGAGTTTGATCTGCAGATGACCACGATGGCTGTTGTTTTGGGGACTCTTACGCTTCATTATTGACCTCCTTCTTTGACGTGCTGAAGCAGAAATTTGTTTGGGAGAAATTGTATTAGTAGAAATGCATGAGAAGCTGGGGGAAGATGCAGGTGTTGGGGTTGTGCACTGGTTAAAACCAACACTCCTTCTCCTTTGTTGGGAATTAAGCATTACGCACTCTGTTCGTGCAGAAACATCTCCATGGCCATTGACAAAAACAGAACTGATATCAGACAGTGGCTGTCTTGTATGATGTCTGCTTACATAACTTGAATTATTTAGGTCATGGTTGTGCTCAGTTGAATTTTCATTAACTCTATTCTTCTTAAATCTTCTTTCATCAAGAACATGCTTCCTCTTTTGTCTTGCAAGTGATGCAGAGTATTTCCTATCTACAAAATGGTTGTTCATAGTTGAAAGAGAATATGGTTGATAACTTACAACTCTTCATAAGTATAACATAATGAATGTAAGAGTAACAAACCTATATGGAATTGTTTGGTTTTGCAGTTTATAACATTTGTATTCTAATTTTTAAGTGTACTCAGATACTCTATTTGTACATTGGATATGAGATAGGGTACAGTGCATTGCATCAGTGAAGTTGCTATATAACATTAATTGTGTTTCATCATTACAGTATATGCTACCAAAGCTTAACAATTATGGGTAGAGGTTAAAAAAGTTAATGTCACATCAATACCATATGTTGGCCAAACTTTAAACAATTATTAGAACACCAAATATTATAATATGACATTAAATACTGTTATGTTGGAAACACAAAATTGCCATTGGAAACCAAAGGTTATTCCTATTGTATTCTATACTATCATCATTTTATTTTTGTTTGTAACATGTAACCATGGTTTGATGTAAATGTGTAAAATTAAAAGTACTTCCAAAAATATACATTTTCCAAGGGATATAAAATGGAATGATCAGAAACTGTTTGTATTCTACATGTCATGTATAGTGTCTTATGTAACTAATGCTTGCTTGTTGGGCCAACAAAAGTTATTGTCTAACGTCAGTTTTACTCCATCTCCCTGTCTCTTCGGTTTTCCATCAGAAACAACATTCCAAGAAGACGGTACACCTTTGAAACAGCGTTTTTCTCCAGACAGCGCCGGCCAACCAATACGATGAAGAAAGAGTATCTACGTTGGTGTTCCCGCGGGTAAGTTCTTCTGTTTTGACACACATGTTTCTAAACTTGCAATGAGATCATTTAGGGTTTATACAAAGATGTATGTGTGCATGATGGGCATGAATGAATTTATATGCAGGGGATTCGTCACACAACCACGACTCCTAATCCTAAATGGAAAAATCTGGCTATCCAAAAGGTTTGGAAGCAATCAGAGGATAAGCGGGATAGAGCAGAAGAATGGAGAAAGTTGCATGTAGAGGCTAAGAGGAGGAAAGAGGAAGCTGAAAGTTCTTCAAGGTAAAACAGTATTCTGGAATGAGTGTATTTTCATATTGATAGTGAAAAAAACAAAAAACTGAATGCATGATGTTTGTTGTTTTTTTGATTAAGCAGCAGGAGTTGCATAAATTTTACACGTGCTGAACTTATGGACAAATACTATGAGTATGTCGAAAGAGAGGAATCGTACGAACTGAGAACAGAAAAGGTGAGAAGCTGTCTATCAGTGGAAAAGTACTTTGAAATAGCCAGAGAGGAGGGATGGCTTGTTGACATATCAGACGATGAGCCTGAACAGAATTCCACTGATGAAGCAATGGAATAAGCGGGCGATGTGTTGGACAGGCAAGGGCTTTTAGGTTACATATATACATTTGAATATTTGACTTTGCAAATTAGTAGTTTAAATAATCGTGTTTGTTAATGCAGCGAGGAGAACAACACTACTGATGCTGCTGATGTTGTACAACCTCCTGCCATGCAAGAGAAACTTGTTTGCAGATGGCAGAAAGTTGTTAAGAGCAGCAGCCAGATAAAAAATCAAGTTCTTGTAAGCTCTTGATCTGTTTGCTGTTACAGTTCGTAAGGATGCATAACAGTGAATGAATAGACATAGCTAATAAAGTTTTAATGTTGCAGCACTTTCCAGCAGCAGTCATCAAGGAAATCTTCATGGAACCAAGATCATATATTGATCTTCATGACACAGACTCGGGTATTACGTACCAATGTGTTTTCAAATCCAGGGAGAACATGACCGAGAAGTTTCTGTCAAGGGGCTGGTTTAAATTTGCAAAGGACAAAGAGATGTCGAAAGGTGACGTTCTCTTATTCAGTGTAGAGCATCCTTCTGTGGAACATATATTGGTCAAAGTTGAGAGAGGGCAGCATTGGAAGGAGTTGTTGATTGGATTACATGGGAAGCATCATGGCAAAAAGGAGGGATTATTTTTGTATGGGCGGAAATGCATAACTATTTGTTTTGAAAATCTATTTGATGCCCATTTGTCTTTGTTATTAGTTTTGTTATTTGATATTGTTGGGCTACGGCTCAATGTACAATCTGCTTATGATTTGTTAAATGGGATGATAGGAAATTAGTTCCATATCTTGCGTTGATGAGATAATTGCATATCGTTTCCGGTATTATCCGGTAACAATTTATATTAATCAAGTGTCATGGATTTCTGCTATGCATAATCTGTTATTCATGTATTAGTTTTTTAGATTAATGTACAGTATGCTGATATACTACCGTGTATTATGCATAAAGTATGCAAAACAATATGGATTGTCCAGCATCAAGACATAAAGAGAAACATTTTTTTCCTTTCAAAGACACTAAGTTAACAACTCAACAGATTAGATGACAGTGTAATTTAAAGCGCCACTAAATACAACATTAAAGTTATATCAAAGTTCAATTCATAACAAATATACATCCGTCATCAAAAAGAATTTTGAAATGGCAAATTGTGGGATTATATTTTAATGGTTTAGAATTACGGAGAAAAAATATGTAACAATTGTGTAAGGTAAAACAAATCATTAGGTGTGATAATGTTTTTCAAAGGTTTCCAAATATGTAAATGAAAAAAGAAAAGGATGTTGTGTGGGGTAACCAAAAACACTTCGTTGCATACACAGTTGGCCACTGATTTTCCAAAAGAAAACAGAATAAATTTATTATATTAAACAAAATAAGGAATTACCAACATCATATTGCTTTTTGCAGTGTAAATTATACATAGTTTTTTGCAGCTTAAATGACTAAAATCATATCATTCTTTCATATACAATGTCAAAAGGATCAAACAAAAAGCAAGAATGACAAATCAAATCCTCATAAACCAGAATAAACAAAATGTAAACCAGAAATATTTCATTACATCAATCAAAATAAGGTGTGCAATGTTGTCCAAAACAGCTTAAAGTAAAAATAAATCATCGACGATAATTGACTGCATCATTTCTCCAGCTTGATGTCCCTTATTATCTTGGTGGACGATAGTTGGGCACTGTCGAGTTCTTCAACTGTCTCAGGAATAGATCTTTTTGACGGTGTAAGTGCAGAGTTGGCAACTGAAGGGTCATAATCTGCAGTGATTGATAACGGATCCTGCCATTAAAGAGTCATTACAAAATCAGTAGCATAAAAAAGGAAGTAAGACATTGTTTAATAGGCTAATTTGTTAATGTTGAAAGCTAAAAAAAGACGCACTGAAACTGTTTGTGGATCATCATGAGACTGTTTTTCCGAGGTGGTGATGGTCGGAGTACACTGCAAGTTAAAAAACGCAAGAAATAAACGTTAGACAATTGTTAAAAATGTGATGGCAAGAGTAATAGGTCGTTACTATTTAAAACATACCGATGCTGTATGCATATCATCCCGAGTGTCATCTGTTGAGACGACAATCTTTGAAGTGTGCTGCAAGTTTTAAACAATTGTTAAAAAAATCCAATGCACATGATACTGATTTTAACAACAGTAAAACATGAGTACAGCAGTACCTCTTCACATTTAAACCTCTCCTTTATTTTGGTACGTAGCACTTCATCTGCCTTAAATCCGATTACAGAAAGACTGGCCTTGTTTGGTTGAAACACTGCTCTTATAGCCAACTCCTTCTTCAGCATCACATCAAGTTCATAAGGGAATTCAAGGGGATCAAAATCTCCAGTCTAAATGATTAAAACAATATATGTTATTTATGTGGTAATTATCTAACTTACATATTAGCCAAATGGAAAATACCTCCATCAAATCGAACTTCATCTGAAGGGCGGACTTCCCAATCAACTTTACACAATCTACATCCCAAAATACGAACTTGTATTTTAACTTTCCATCGGAGGCAAGCACTTCAAGCTTAAATCTGTACCATGCGTGATCAAAATAAGAAATTGTCAGTAATGAAGCGTTTGGTTATATGATGATAATCATTGATATGCAATACTTAGAAGTTACCTTGGGACTGGCTCAGAACTGATGTGTTTGGAATAACACATGAATTTTCCATCCTTCAAAGTCACACTTTTGGTACATTCACTACATCCATCATAATACCATCCTGACTGCCCACATTCAAACTTCTCCAGAGTCGCAACAGTCACACATGTAGTTTCCTGAAACAGAAAGATGGGATGATGTCTCAAAAAATGGATTAGAACCCAGTCTGTGTAATTCCTCAATCTAAGACAGTCATGTATTAAAGAGCAACTTACAGTCTGCAGATATGCAATATCAGACAGACTCAACACTTCAGCTTTCCATACAAATTTGTCCAAATCAGAAAAAACAGAGGTATTTGTGGTTTCCATTTGCATGCTCGAGGATGAGAGCGTCGGCAGATCATCTTTAAGTCTGATGTACATATATCAGAATGAAAACAGGCTGTTAGTAATCATAGGTTGCTAATTCATAACTTCATAATAAAATCACTTACTTCTCTTTAAGGTTTTTAACCTCCTCAATAGACAAATCATTGATGAGCAGTTTTGTGCCGTTCCAAGCATTTGATACATTTAAAGGATAATTTCCTGAAAATTGAGATATTTATAAATGACAACACTTAAAGTTGGATATAATAATTGGATATAATAAGAAATAGTCACATAGCATACCTTGAGGTTCCTTGATCCTTGCATTCATAAGTAGGAGAACAATACTACCATCAGCCTTATGAGTCGTATAATACTCATTCAGTTGCACAGCTAATTTACCCCAAAGAGTACATTGCACATGATGTTTGCTGATTGACAGGAATTACAAAACAAACAACATGAACATGTTAGACTTTTATATTTATCAGCATCAATGTTAACAAACAAAATGAAACACCTACCTCAGATCAGTTAATGAAAACACAACCTTGCTTTTGTTGTTATCAGGAATTATCTAGGCTTGGGATATTTCAGTAACCCCACCAATTATATCTGCACAAAAGTTCACCACAGACAGTTATGTATAACGGAGAAGTCACAATACAATGCGTTCTATTATAACAGTAAAAATGTAACTCACCATATAACAAATTCGTTCTGTATTTACCCTCAATAATAGCATTTATTCCAATTAACTTGAGGTGGTTCAGAGGTATGTCAGCAAGTTGGACCTTTTTGACGGAAGTTGAACCACAGAAAATCAATTTGAACTTATAATCAGTGGATTTGAAGGAGAAATCATTGCTGGAAACTTTGAAATTCTGCATTATGTAGGAACAACCAAGTTCAAGCTGTGTTTTGAATTTTGATATCAAATAAGATGGCACAATGGCTTGAATCAAATCCAACTGTGAAAATACAAACATCTTGAAATCAGTATCATATATCAGTACTGTTACAACAAAATCAGAATGGCAAAGCAGAAACGTTTAGATTGTATTATACCTTTGAATCAAACAGAATAAGCTCTAAGTGCTCTCTATTCTGAGAACTGGTAACAGACCACAGATGCTTACATCTAACAACAACCTTCCACAAATCCTTCGAATCGTCAATGCTACTGATATACTCGATTGTGCGCGTTATCGTCACGCAGCGATTCGTAACAGCGCAGAGAGCCTTACGTGAATGAAAACGAAAGGGACGTCTGTAGCAATGGCTTGCGTGAATGAAAACGACTGGAAGGTGTTAAGCAATGGAGGTTATACATAAGTACACATTGGGGAAGGATTGAAGGAAGAGTGAAAAACTTTTGGTGTTCCATTTGAATTTGAATTCTGATTAAGAGAGGCATAATGGTTTGGCATGGGGAAGAGGAAGAGAGGCACAATGAATGGCAATGAATAATGAATTGGTATTCCCCATGGTTGGGTTTCTCACGCTGCCCGCACAATAAATTGAATTGGTTCTTTATTTTAAAAAACAATATAATATGTGAGATTTATTTGAAAAAAAAAAATTGAAAATGTGGTGAAAAATTGTGGGAGTGCCACATCAGATTCAAATCAATGTGGTGCAAGATATTTTGGAGTTTCCAATTTTACCCCAATACAATAGACCAACAATGGATTTTTTCAGCTGTGGTGTTGTGGTAATTTCCAGGGACTATCATTTTTATAGATTTATAATAGATATGTGGCCAGCTTTATCCTATTTTTAATGCACATAAAAGGTATGTTATTAAAAGTAATAATAGAGTTATTATGTTAATTAAAAAGAAATAATAATCATTAAGATGAATCAATTATGCTAATCAATTATGTTTTAATGATTATGTTATAAAAGTGATTGTTATTATGTTAATTAAGAAGAAAATAATAGTGTTGTCATCTCAAAACAAACTATACATTATCATTCATCAACATATAAGTATTCTTAATTTAGTTAGAAGTGAGACTTCAAGACATTCTTAATTTTAATTTCTTCGCTATTGCAAAACTATAAAATTTTCAGTTAACAAAGCAAATTATCAAGAATTCAGCAACCTCCCCTTACAACAGACTCCCCAAATAGCAGCTCCGCCAAGGTTAAAGTCAACATGTAAGAAGTTCAAGAGCTAAGGCTTGTTGTAAGACCTTTTCAAACTTGAATGTTTATTTTAACATCCCAAAACGTTTTAATATCCTCTTCCTTCTCAAGAATCTCTGCAAATCAAGTAACATCAACACATTTCAACATTAATAACCTTTAATTAATTTCAACAAAGAATTTCTTTTTCAAAAACAACCATAAATACCCTTTAAAAATGAAGGAAAAAAAAATGAAACGCACCAGGAGCAATGATAATGGCTACAAGAGGAACAATAAAACTGTTTTTTTTTTTTAGATTCAGCGTTAAAAGGCCCATACCAAAACGTATTGAACGTAAATTCAAAACACCAAACGAAACATGAGAGTTTGGTGACATTGGAGGTGGCCTTTTTCAAGAACACTCAATTCAAGTCAATAAATAAGATTAAGATAAAAGTTATAACACATCAATATGGAAAAATTTATCACCTTATGGACCAAATTCCTTGACGTAAACTCCTCTAAGGTCTCCAAAATTCATCGCCATACACTGCTTTCACAGGAGATTTCATAATAGTCTTTCTAAATTCTACATATTTCCTCAATTTCCTGCAAATCATAGTAGGATTTTATATCACATTAGGGTTTCATCCTGCAAATCACATTAGGATTTTACCCCTTATAGAAATCAAAGAGCAACAAATTGAAAAACCTCGAAATTGCATAAACAATCATAGTGAAGTTTGTAGAAAATTGAAAAAGTCGCACATCAACCATTTCGAATCCGACACCACCAAACTCGCCGCCGAAAAACGCATTGCTTCCACCACAGATCTACCACCGCAAAACCTCACACCACTGTAAAACCAACGGATACGCCAGATCCATCGAAAACTCCAGATCAGTCGTTGTATCCCCTATTTCGGTTGGTACCAAATGTATTCTTCTTGATTTCACTTTCATCCATGCTTTTGATTGTTGGTTGCAAGATATATGATAGTGAGATTTTTGTTCAAAGAAAAAGGTGGAAGAAAAAAAAATTAAGCAATTCTTAAGAGAGAGATGAAGAAGTTTTAGAGAAGAAGAAATGAAGAGAGAGGGTTTGAAAATTGTGATGTGATGATAAGAGAAAGTAAAAAAAAGTAGGATTGAAATAGTTGATTTGGAACCAAATAATTGTATATGGAAAGTAGAAGAAATAAAGTAAACTATTAGTTGGAATTGAACAACGTCACATTTAGTTGTAAAAGGTAATTTTGGGACCAAAATTAACCTCGTTTTGGGGATGTGGGAAAATCAGAGCAAAGGTTATTTATGTTTTTTCTAGAATATATAATTTTTTTTATATTATAGATATATGTAAATGATTTTTGTATATTTATATGATTGTTTACAAAAATAAATGTTTTATAAAACTTTTTATGCACAAGGTTGTTTTACTATTTTGAAAAATTGTCACGAAGAAATTATTGAGTTGAGTCATGGACTAGATCTCTTTCTTTAAGATGTTTTACGATACTGTCTAAAATTGTATAAGACAGACGATCAACCATGATGTATCCAAAATAAAACAACTTAGTTTTATATTATATGACTACTACTTCACGATAGATAATCAGTTTAGAAATACACACTCTGATGGTATAAGGACCAGACAAATATGATATAAATATCACTTGTAGTATCTGCTATAAAGATTCGTCGTAGTAATTTATTAAACGAAGAGAAATTCAAATAATTCTTCAAAGAGAAATCATTAATGGTCGTTTAACCACTCAAAATAATTTATCAAACAAGTAGAATTTCAAATAATTCTTTAAAGAGGATCTAAAAAAACTTGGTAATTTCTCAAATAAAGAGAAATTCAAATAACTCTCTATAAAATTCAAGAAAATACTCAAGAAATTCAACGAGTAGGAAGAAATGTGAGAGAAGTTGAAATTTCAACAATTCAAAAATGCAGAGTAAAGAGAGTGAGGAAGGAAAAGCTCAAAAGAAGTTTTTGGTGTATTTTGAAATGAAACATGTGCATTTCTTATATAATGAAGTAAGCTAGCCAATATATGTAATTTAAGCAATGTAAGACTTAGAGTTTTCTCAATTAACACACAAACACACATATTTTTCTTATAATGTGTGACTTAAGAAAATTTGTTCAAATTCATCTCCATATTAGAATATTGACACAATCCAACAATCCCTTGAATTTAAAAAGTGTTTCAGAAATAATGTCAAATGTTTCTAAGATTGTGCATAAACAGATGTGTCTAAAACTTAAACTTTTGTGTAACAAGTACGATTCTGATTCAACAAGAGTGATACAGTTGTCTTGAATTCTATCTCGAAAATTCGCATACATCATTTTCTAAAGGAGTATTTTAATAAGCAAACGCTTTAATGACCCGTGCATATTTATCCCAATTTAGTGAAGACACTAGGAATTATGCCTCAAAGTTTCATACACTACTACAAAATATACATTTCGTAACCGATTTTCATCTCACTCATAGTGTTCACCGTGGTATGCACTTTTCTTTCATTTTCATTTTTAAGTCACTTTTTACCACGGTCAAATTTTTTCAACCGTGATAAAAAATGGTGATTGTTCATGGGTTCAAATTCCAACGGCAGCTATTTTGTTTTTATTTATTTTTAAGCCACTTTTTACCACGTTTGAAACTTCTAATGTGGTAAAAATTGGCGCATGTTCATGGGTTCGAATTGCAACACCAACTGTTTTATTTTTTATTTATTTTAAGCCACTTTTCACCACTATTGGAATTTCAATCGTGGTGGAAAGTGATGTCATCCTATTTTTTCTACTTTTAAATTAAAAATAAATTGCGCCTTAGTTTATTTTTCCAAGATATATAACGCTCCACGTTTATTCACTTTTGCACTCAACGAACTTAGACGAATTTCATCTTCTATCTCCAAACTTCATCTTTCATTTACGAAACTCTAGTTCTCAATTAAACCAAACTTGAAAACATTATTTCTTTCATAAATGAAACTCGAAAATATCATTTCTTTCATTAACGAGTTTTGGAACTTCATCATCTATTCTCCAACTTGAACGAGGCAAGGAAAACATGGATTAAAGTTAGCGATGTCAGTTATTGTTGTTGTGTTAGATAAAATGTTTAACGTTGTTGTTGTTGAGATTTAATGTTAAACGATTTTATTGATTTTATTGTTGTTTTTTTAATGTTGTTGTTGTTATTGCTTTTGTTGAGATTTAATGTTTAATGATTCTATTGATTTAATTTTTATTGTTGTTGTTCTTGAGATTTAATGTTTAACGATTTTGTTGATTTTGTTTTTTATTGAAGTTGTTGTTGTTGAGATTTAACATTTAATTATTCTATTGATTTTGTTATTGTTGTTCTTGTTCTTGTTATTATTCTTGTTGTTGTTATTATTAATTTGTTAGAAATATTTAATCTTTTATATTAATATAGAAGTTCTCAATGTAGTTAGCCAAAGCATGGGTCAAAATGAAAAATTGGGTTGACGAGTTGTTATTCCATTAGGATTGACTGCATTATAAAAAAATAACATGGTATGTTCAAGTTGTTTCTATGAAGAATGACACATGTGGGAACAAATGTCCCAACATGTGTGCATCATGTGTCCCTTATCTATAGGACAAGGTTGTTGTTGTGTACATGCATTTTTTCAGTTACTTGGAACGCATTTCTACTGTGTGCAACAAATATTGTTGTTATCTTTTAGCAATCTGATTTGATTGATTATTTAATTAGGTTAAATTTAAATCATGGAGATTTAAATTTGAAATCTGTTGTACCCCAAAATTTTCCCTCCCATATTCTTCAAAGTTTTGACAAGCATCATCTCAATTTGCTCAAGTCTACTCAAGGGTTGCACAGGTCAAACATCCTCCTAAGCCAGTCAAAATTAGGATTTTGTTTCTCTCAAGGAAGTTGAGGTTTTCAATGGCTCAATCAAGTCCATATGCTCATATACATTGTCAAGCACCTACATGTCAAGTTTCAAGACTCACAGCATCAAGTTGCACAGTCAAAAGCCCTAATTGCTCCACAATCAACTGTAGGGGTAAAATGGTTATTTGGCAGTCAAAAGTCAAATTTTTTGGTCAACATCTTATTTTGAGCTCACAATCATCATTTGATCAAGTCTTGATCGTGATTCCTCAAGCATGGCTCAAAAATCATCAAGATGCAAAAGTTTCCATTTTTGGACAGCTGAAAAGTCAACTGTAACTTGACCAAGGCATAACTTTTTCATGGTTCATCAGAAAAATCCCATCCAATGCTCATTTTGAAGGGGATGACATTTCCTACAACTCATCTTCACATTCCAAGTCCAAGAAATGCTCTCACAAAAAGTTATCAATTTCAACATTATAGGTCATTTTCAAAAGTCAACAAAAAGGCACTTTAAGTCAAAGACCATAACTTGATATTGGTAAATCAAAATGACATGGGACCAAAGGCATTGGTTAGAGGACTTCAAGACCTTTCCAAAATGTCCAAGAACATGTTCTTATGATCAAAATTGAGCAAGATATGCATTGGAGAAGTTGGGAAATTTTTGTGAAATGGCAAAAGTCAACTATCCTTGAAACTTCAATTTTTGACAAAAGGGCCCACTTTCTTCCACTTGATTCAGCTTTGTCATGCCACCCACGTGTTCCATGATCAATTTCAAGACCAAATAATTATTTTTCTATTTTATTTAATTTTTATTGATTTAATTCATTTTAAATCCATAAAAATTCAAATAAAATCTAAAAAATTAATTAAATGGCATCTTTGTGGTTTGAATGACTTTTATGTGTCATATGCTAGCTGCCAAAATCGTGCCAAGCTCATTTATGCATAAAATTCAAAATTTGAACCAAGTTTGGAATGTCCTTTAATGGTGGTCAAACAAGAATCCAAAACATAATTGCACAAGGTTAAGGCTCATCATATCACTTAATTCTCATTCATACATACATATGCAAGCAGTACAAACCTCATTCACGACCTAGAAAGTGCACAAACGGCCAGAGCAAAGTTCAAAAATTGTCCAAAAAGTGAGAGATAAAAAACTGTGTTGCAGGCATTTTCAGATCAAAGTAAGCACGTGGCCTCCTTCCTTGCCATCCACTGAACCTAAAGAGACCAATACCACGTCCTAAGACTCCATATCAAGCGCTGTAAGTTCTTCCAAACTCACCCCTGTACACGAAATCTATACTCTCCATTCTTGCATTTTTCTCTCAAAGATATTGGCATAATCATATTGCTTGCTTGATTTCCAACATAACTGTAATAGCTGATTTGGTTTTTAGGCCTCATATGGTGATATCCGCTCTTAGGGTTTGTGTGGGTTGTTTTTAGGCATTTTATTTTCAGGTGAAATCAGAGCAAATAATGAGCATGATCTTGGAATGCATTTTCATAGCCTGAGGATCATTTTCGAAGCAACCTACGAAACCACCTGCGGATAAAATCCGCAGGTAAAAAACCTGCAATTTTTGATGAAGAAGATGACCAGCTGTTGCAGCGTGATTGGCCATTTCAAACCAACGCGTATTTTTTTATTTTTTTTAGCATATACCTTGATTTACTAATATTATATTTAGTTGTTATTATTATTTCAAATTGAACACACAGCTCAGCTGGCTAAGGCGTACAGGAATCATCCCTTGCGACCTGGGTTCGATTCCCAGGTCCCCCAAATAATTATTTCTCTTTTTCCATCATATGTTCACATGCAGACCATTAAGCGTGTTCCATCGTACACCTTGTTCATCCAAGCGCCAGGTGGCCTCCAAGGCAAATCCCATGGCTCATGTTGAAGGACCACAATAGTCCTCAGTCAACGCAGGCATAGCTGATCTCAAAAGTCCAAACGGGCTGGCCAACAAATGGGCCAGAATTGCTTCTTCAAAACCTCCTTTGGGTCCAATACCCCCCCCCCCCCCCTTTTGG